GGAAGAACTTTTCGGGCAAAGCCAGTAGAAGTTTCCAAGGGAAGTCGAAATAGATTTCCGGAAGGAATCGTAAAATAACTTACAGCTTAAGGTGGATGGAAATTCCTGGGGAAAGTTGGAAGAAACTTCAAAGGGAAGATTAAAAAAAAATCAGGAAGTCCAAAAATTATCGTTTTTATGGACCTATTTTTCTACTGAATAAAAGTATTTCCCGATTTCCAGAAATTACTGGAATGAGCCTTCAGCTGTTTCTCGATTCCTTGGTAACCAAAAACGGCAAGAAAATGGAAGCATTAGTCGAAAGAGTATTGAGCATTTTATTTTTAGAGCAGGCTCAAATATTTTAATCTTCAGAAGAAAAAGCCTCTCACAATAGTCTCCTCTGACAATTCATTGCGGGCAGGCAGTAATCATTTTGATTATTAATAAAAAAAATCGGTATAAATTGGTATTAAAACTCAAAAACCGGTATTCTGAGAAACCTTATCTGTAAATTGATATTAAGTTTGAAAATCGGTATAAATACTGATAAATAAGCATATCTGGCAACACTGGCGCCAATTCAGGGAAATGCAATGAAATCTGTCCAGACTTTAAATGCTAATAACTTGGCTAATAATCAATGGATTTTGATGATTTGTAACTCGGTCGATTCACCAGTGCTATATAATTTGTGTGGTATCACAAATTTTATAATTGTAAATTATTTAAAAAAAGTTAACAATGAAGGAATATGGAACTATTCAAATTTCCCATAAATTTTGTTCGACCGCAAGGTGCTCACCCCTAACACAGCCATCAGAAAGTTGATGCCTAACGTCCTCAAAAGTGCAAAACTTGTGTAATAGGGTTTTTGATCTAATTTCCGTCCTACTAAGCACAACCCGCGCTTTACCTCTCTTGATAATATTTATGTCAAAGATGACTTCTTAGTTTATTCACCTTTCCATACATATCGTTGGATTTTATAAAAAAAAGTCCCAAATTGTTGAGATATTGTTCAAAATCTAATACTGCTTCTTGATTCTAAATTCGTCCTACGAGTTTCAATTCCGTCCTAACGCATTGAAATGCCATTAGATTTTCTTCGACCTACGGATAAGCTTAGAAAAAGGGGATTCGCTAGTAGAGCTTCTTTTATTTTGAGAACAATGAGCGTAAATATTCATACACTGCGCTCTTAACAGGATTTATGTTGTAGCTAATGAACTACACAGAAAAAATTCTGATTCTATCGCGTAAAATCTCCCTTCGTTTAATTTTGAGCTATACTTGGCATAAACAGCGAAATCGTTCACAAGCTTGCATACAATATCGCTAATTTATGCGATATTGCGCTTAAATTTACACGAAATATCACGTAAACCTATGCCAAATCTAGCGTTAATTTTATGTGCGCTATATCTCGCAGAAATTTACATGAATTTTTCGAACGGTCTAGTGCGCGATTAGTTTGTATCGTTTTGATGCCTTCGGCAAGCAAGGAATAAGCTTCGTGCGACGAAGATACAGATAAACGATTTTGACAGAATTTACACCTACCAGAACGTGCTCCGACTGGAATCCCATTTATATTCGTGTGAGCGCTCGTCCGGTCTTGTGTGAATGCTCCTCAAAAGCGCAGTTTTAAGCTCACCTCGCTACGAGTTACCATGTCATCACACCCATTCATTTATTTGTTTGGTATAAAGATGCTAGTTGGTTATTAATGGTTAATTATTGAAAATTCAGAGTTGGTTGGAAATGCTAACATGAAGCTTTAGTGTGATGATTTATTAGCTAGAGAATGATCTTTAGAAGAGGGAAGGTGGATAGTTCCGTTAGAGTACGGCAGTATGAAAATTGAATAGAAGTTGAAAATGAGCGAAGGGCCATTAAAGCGACAGTTTTCAAGATAGACGCACTGAAAATTGATCATAGTACTTAGCCGTAATCAACCAATCACGTGCTCACTCGCTATGATTATCGAGAGAACAGAGAGACGAGCTGTTACAACTCAATACTCAATATCATTGTTTGTCTTTGCTTTTTCTATTCATTCACCTACATCAGCAAAATACAGAAAAAAGGAGGGGCATCGAATGCTAATCTAAATGCTTAAGGCTGTGAACCATTTGCCGAATTAAATTTAACTCGTGGTTAAAGTGACATTTCGAAAGTTATTTTCTATGTTCGAAAATCCCTGTGCTGTCGATCGACCGGTTTTCGAGAAGAACTTAGCCAAGGTTGTCAAAATTTAACTTCTTGTCTGTCAGAAGTAACCGGATAGCAGGGTTAATCGATAACTTTCCATCTGCCAAATTTTAACCAAAAGTTAAAATAATCCACCAAATGGTTTAGAGCCTAAGTAAGGGAAACGTAGAAAGTTTGACTGCGGTAGGAATGGGCGTTTCGAAAAAAAATTGATGTTTGCCGAATCGATTCTAAAACTGAAAACAAAAATCGATTCTCCAAAATATCGAAAGAAAAAAAAAATCGATTCGAGGAAAATAGATTTTTGTTTGTATTTGAACTACGCTTTATAATCTACAATTAGACTTCCTGTTATTTTAGTGTATGTGTGTAAGCATTTATTTGTGTAAAACCATTTCAAAAAAAGTAATTGAACTCTTTTAAAATATTGACAGCGGAATGAATTATTAAGAAATATTGCGAATATTTAGATTATTCAACTTCAACTCTATATCTGAGCTTTCAAAATCTTCTGCAGGTATTACAACTCACATTTTCAATGTTTTTTTTTTTAAATCAATCGTTTTTGCAGAAAAAAACCAGCTAGATGAATTAGAATGGGTCCAAAGTACACATAACATAAAACGAAACAAATTAAAAATGCCCAAGATTGAAAGGGTGTTTAGCAAAACTTGAGGACGATGAAATGTTTTAGTTAAAGTATTTATTTATTTTTGGGATAGGGAAATACCAGTTTGTTTATAATATTTTAATATGATTTAGTAATAATTTAGTTGATAAATTTAAATGAATAAAAAATCGATATCAACTTTGAAAAATCGATTCTGTCAAACATCGAACAGAAAAATGGATGGATGAAAAAAAATCGATTTTTCGTGGCAAAAAAATCGATTCTGTAAAAATCGCATCGACATCGCTAATTCCTAGACGGCAGTCATCGTTTGATTGCCACGTGATAAACAGGGGGATTCGTTGCGTCGTACACTGAAAACCAATCTTACTCAGAGAGTGAGTTACTTTTACTCATTCGTATGAAGAAATTTTTAAAAACTTAAGCTACTCATGCGCTGAGTAACCTACGCTTTAAGAAAATTTTCCATACGATTGAGTAAAAGTGACTCACAAATGAGTAAAAGTTTATCACTGAGTTAGTTTCCTTTGCAGTGTTAAACGCAACGAACGCCTCTGTTTATCACACGGCAGTCAAACGATGACTGCAGTCAAACTTTCTACGTTTCCCTTACTTAAGCATTTAGATTAGCATTATATGCCCCTCCTTTTTTCTGTATTTTGCTGATGTAGGTGAATGAATAAAAAAAGCCAAGACAAAAAATGATATTGAGTGGTACCGTTTGCTTGATTGCGGCTTAACATTTTGATCATTTTTCAATAGTAAATCATTGATAAACAACTATCTTGTTTATAACCAGCCAATCTTATAATCAATCTGAATAAAATGGTGTAATTAAAGTAGAATTTCATCCATATATGACCATGTTATAAGCGTTCAAAACTTGACACTATTTCGTCAAACATTTTTTTTTTTTATCTAACCTAGGCAATATAATTTATACGTGGGTTCGTGTCCTTGGTCATAGTATGACGCGATCGTATGAGTAGATGTCGGTAGTGTTTAACGTATTTCAAATATGGCGCCTTGGGCACAAATTTGAAAGTAGCTTGTATGAGCTTTCACGTCGGATGCCCTTTGAGGGCAAGTGTTGCATGCTTGAGATGCTCAACTAACTCTGGGTCTCGGATACCTACCCGACGCTGTGGAAGGAGAAGCTCGTCGTGCCCATCCCGAAGGCAAACAAAAATGACAGGGCCACATCTAAGTTCCGGCCGATCGCTCTCACATCCTGTATGGCCAACCATCAGCTTGCTCGACCACCTAAAACATGCCTTCCGACAAGGTTTCGGTACGTCGACGTACTTTGCCACTCTGGGGGACGTCCTCAAGGAAGCTTACGACCAGGAACACCACGTTCAAATCATCTCTTTGGACATCTCCAAGGCTTTCAACTTACAAACTGGGGCATATGATGTATTTCATACGAAACTTCTTGACCGACCGGTCATTCCACGCGGCCGAAAGGTTTCAGCGATGAGATCGGAGTTCCTCAAGACTCCGTTATCGCAGTCACGTTGTTTCTGGTGACAATGAACGGGGTATTTGACCGGCTACCTGGGTGCATTTACATATTTGTTTACGCTGACGATGTGCTGGTTGTGGCCACCGGTCCTACACAGATCCGAACCCTACGGCAAGCGCAAGCGGCAGTCTCAGCCGTCGTCAAATGGACGATCCACGACCAAGCCGTTCCAAGCAGGAAAACAGTTCGCGTCCTCGACCGAACGCTCTCCTTCGACCAGCATTTTCAACAGGTCAAAAAGAACTGCCGCAGTAGACTCAACCTCGTTAAAACGACCTCTCAGCCTCACCGATCCAACAACCGCGATGTTCGGTTCCGGGTGGCGTGAGCCATCATCGACAGTAGGTTGATTTACGGGACGAAAATTACTTGTATAGCTTCCGCGAAGCTGGTTAGAACCCTAGCACCGGTCTACAACGGGATGGAGAGAAAAGTTGGCACTCTTCACGTATCCAATTGGACCATCGGATCAAGAACCAGTTCAAAGCAGGGGATGCATCCGTGATTTTGCGCAGATCGGCCGCCAAGTTACTTGGGTCCAACTATGCCGACCACGTACACCGGTACACCGACGACTCCCGATCGATAAACGGAGTAGGTATCGGGATTTTCGGAGTCGGTATTGCTGAAAGCAGCAGTCTTCCTCCACAGTGCTCGATTTTCTCGGCCGAGGCTGCAAGATCGCTGCCCGTGCCGCTACGACGCCAGCCAACAAACCGATACTTATATTAACCGACTCACACAGCGTCGTTCAAGCGATCACCTCGGAAGCACCAAAACACCCATGGATCCAGGCGATTATCAAGTACGCCCCACCAAACACCGTGTACACATGGATTCCCGGACATTGCGGAGTGCCAGGTAACGAGTCTGCTGATCACCTTGCCGGAGCCTGGACATCGGGTCCCAGACTCACCGACAAGGTACCCCTACAGGACGTCAGACGGTGGATCATGCGGACCATTCGAGCGGCTTGGGAGGCCGAGTGGTTCCGCAAAAGAACTGCCTTCATCCGCAAAGTCAAAGGGTCAACTGAACCATGGAGCGGACTGGACAACCTGAGGGATCAACGCGTGATTTCTCGGCTTTGGACCGGGCACACCAAACTCTACTATATCTATGGTGGCCTGTCGTTCCGCAGAAACTGCATCATCTGTGCGGTACCCTACACCGTAGAACACATTCTGTGCAACTGCCCGTAGTTCCAAAATCTTCGGGAGTCACTCTGCCTAACTTCCAGCATCTGCGATCTGCTCGGGAATGATACTTCGGCCTCGGCAGCACTAGTAACCTTCTGTAAAGAAGCCATGGTATAGCAGGAATTTCTTTCGGCCGTCAGGACATGTCAGCTGGATTCCCCTATTGAACCCATGCATGCCAGCTGAGCTCTGTTTTGTTTGGATTATTCGTTTGTAGTTTGTTTTAAATCATTTTGTTTTTTGTTCTTCCTCTGTTTCACTATTTTATATATTGTTATTTTTTTCATATAAGTTGAAGAGCCAGCAACCAAAGTTATTTACAAAATGTTAATATACCATGTATTTAGAGGTTACTCACTCTGAGGCCTCTCCTTTCTCCGGAGATGAACTAGCCATAGGCTAAAAATCTCCTTACTTAAGAATTTAAAAAAAAATGACATGTCAGATTGTCGGTGCTATAACTTCGTCCACTTGAGAGATAGAAAATTTTAGTTTTGTGCAAAATTTCTTAAAATTACTTCGTATACAATGTTTCCATAGTTGTTCATCAATTTTAACAAGCAAAAAAATATCACTTTTAAAATAAAGCACTCTAAAAATTAAGAAACATTATAGAAGACATTGAAATGCTGCACTCAATTGTTTCGTGCAATTCGAGTATCTACTGAAGAAACGCTACTTGAATAAACTTTCTCCCATATGTATGGAAATTTGCGTAATTGTTTTTTTTTATGGGAGATTTTTGTTAAAATTAGGCCATTTTGGATCTTGTAAAATTTTCAAAACGCCATCCATGGAATTTTTTAAAAAACTGTAGAACGGAAATGACATTTATGATCGATAATATGTCTCTGGGAAAAATAAATAAATAAGAAAACCAAACATATGAAAAATGGCTTGCCCAATATTTGAGAAAATTTAAAAAATCGAAAAGTTTAAGAAAAATGCAAACAGAATGTTCTAAATCATGAACACTTGCAAACTGACAAAAAGCTTAGAACAAGAACATTTTATATCTTCTGAAACTCAATATGGCTCCTTCTAGAACTAGGTACTCAACAGAAAAACCTATCAACCCATGGACCTAATACAATGTTTGCACCAGAGCGCTTCCAACATGTTAAAATAATCATTGGCAATGCTTCAACATAGCCTGCCCATATGCTTTAACTCCCTAGCCTGTACATAGCATATAAGCTGCCTAAATCCAAACAAATCCCAAAACCAATTGGTCGAGCCGTCAACTAAAGGACCCCCTTGTACAATTTATGGCTTTATGGCGCACAATTTGCCGAATATGGCTTCATCTCCTCTCCGGCGCACATTGGACAGCCAGCGACCACTCGGAATCGCTTCAATAAAAACGTCAATTCGCCTTGATTGTTTTGTCGACTAGAATACGTGACATTAAAATCAAATCAATGTCAACGTTGGAAGCATTATTGTGATGATTTTTCTCCCTTCCCATTATTCTTCTAACTCACATTGGGACCTGCCCTGTTCCGCCATGAGTACGAGCATAATAATTCCGCCACAATTAAATGGGTTCATTCTCGAAAGCCACCGCGCTCTTGGTCTTGTGTGCGCCAGCCATGTACGTGCCGGATTTTTATTACATTACCAATCAAACAACATAATTCTTCTCTCCATATATCTGTTTGTTTCTTACCACGTGCGTTGTTGCTTGCAATCGCCAAAAAGTACGAAATCACTGATGGATTCTCATGCCCTCACACGGGGGGCTTACATAACCGTCAGTGTGAACCACGCGAGCTGATAAGTCCGAGCCCGACGTTGGAGTCTGCAATGAAAGAACGGGAAGGGAAAAATATGTTTCTAATAATGTACGTAATTTATGTTTGCCTTACGTAAGAGCTATTGCCCCAATTGTTAGACGAGGGGGGGAAGGCGGTGGTTGAGGATTTTCTTTTCCTCTTCTGAACGACTAGATGGGGGTGATTATCAGTTGGTTTGGATGATGGGAGGAGCTGCAGTTTGTTTGTTTGTTTGCTACACATTCTCCTCGGTTGGCTGGCCCGACTTGGACTGCCAGAAGGCAGCTATGGGGCTGTTAGGTGTGGTATCAGTGTAGTAATAGTCACGTGCCACAAACCGCAGAGTACATGGGAAAAATAAAGCTCCCATAAGCTATTACAATGGAATTGAAATTGAAAGCTGTCTCTCGCTTCCTTGCACGATACTGGTGAGGAGGAATGTCTGATGCCACAATTGGCACCACGTTGGGAAATGCATAGGGGATAAAGTATGCTCTGGGTTGTGGGCCATGTGATGGCAGAAGGAGGGTGAATGAAATTGAAAATGAGTGAAAATGTTGGCCCGGAAGAAGTACAGAGATAGTGCGAATGCCAGTAGATGATGAAGAATATGTTTTAAAAGTTCACATACATTCTTCATTTCATACTGGCTGTGGTTATTGAAAGTCTAATTTGATTTCTCAAAACATAATACCACGTTTGCGGCAAATGAGAGTAGCTCAGAATTGAGTTGAATTCGACGCAACATTAAATGGTTTACTCAGTGATGAATAATATTTCCTTGATTGTCCTTAAAAATCGGCTCGAATATCAAGAAAATCGATGAATATTTTACTCAACTTGTGAGTAAACTACGTAAAATTTTCATAGATTTTCCTGATATTCAAGCCGGTTTTTGAAGAAATCTAGGATACTCATCCACTGAGTATCCGCACATTTTTGCAATTTTGAGACGAATTCGGCTCAACACTGAGTTACTCTTATCGGCCGTATATAGGCTGCCTTGCAATAAGCACTCATATGACAAATTTTCTCTACAAATCACATACATTTGAGATCAGTTATTGTCTTTTTATCAAGGCTATTATATGAAAATGTAAGTATCAACAAATGTTTTGATATATTCTTAAAAGTTTTCCCGCCCCCAGTTTTGAATTTCCCTGGTGTTCTAAAAGCATCCAAAATACTCGAATGTTGCCCGATCAGCATTCTCGTCAAGAAGTTTAATTAATTCTGATAATTTGTGGAATTCCAACTGCTTAGAGAGTTAGAAGAGTTCCATAAGTTCTTGGACTACCACAAATGCAACAAATTATGAAAGTTTCTAGAACTTCAGTATCTTTGAGATTTCCAGAAGTTTCGGGAGTTTTTCGAATCCATTGTTTTCGCATCTCCGGAAGTTCTTTAGAGTATCGTGAGTTCTTAATTTTTGATTAATTTGGACCTCCTGGTACTTACGATACTCCCGGAATTGATACTACAGTGACTTTAAGAACTCTAATGACCAGAATCAATGAACTCCCGGAATTCCAAGAAAATCGAGAATTCTTAAAACTTTTACATTTCTCGATAATAACTCCAGAAAATTCTGTTGCATAAGGAATTTATTGGCATACTGAATGTATTAGGCTCAGTCTGCAAAGCAAAGCACTACCATGCAAGGAGGTGGCTGGGTTCGATTCCCAGTCCGGTCTAGGAATTGTTCGGGTTGGAAAATTTCTCGACTTTCTAGGGCATAGAGTATGTTGTACATGCTACACAATTATACTAATGCAAAAATCGTACAGACATCGAAAGCTCTCAGTTAATAGCTGTGGAAGTACATCTAGAACATTAAGTTGAGAGCTTGAAATGCGAAGAAAAACTTCATGGAAGTTCTAAAAACTTCATGGGAGTTCTACAAACTTCATGGGAGTTCTACAAACTTCATGGATGATTCCGGATAACTATTCCCCTCTGGTCAGGTGTGGAATGCACATTTGTGAGGTTGCACAAATATTCATAAATTACAAAACCGACTTGCTTGATACTCTTACTCATGAGAATAATTTACTGAAATCACAGCTTAGTTATCAGATTTGCAATCGTAGTTCATCAGAAATAAACAACTTCTCGTTAGTTGCTTCAAACTGAACAATGCATTGCATTACCTTGTAAAACCAACACACCAAGTCGGTGCTGGAGCATGCATTATAACAATTTTATGATTCCCCATAGTTTATTCATCTTTCGGTGGTCGTTACTTTTTGTTCAGTTTCGTTTTTCTCAACCCCAACTGCTGTAACATGAAACTGTATGTCCCGCAGTAGAGATTTTCCACCACGATAGGGTTTGTCTCAGCCAACGACGACGACGACGACGACGACGACGCGAACAAAAATAACTGAAAGAGAAAACATACCATAACTTGCACTAGTTGGAACATGGGCGATAGATATATCGCATCTATAGACATATATCCAAAAGACCAATGTGTAGCTGAATACCCGAGTTGTAACACGGGTGGGTGGTCCACCCCATGGAAAGTAAATAGATTTATGGCACTTTCTACGCTTGGCGTACTCCTGCTGAATGATCCGGAAAATGCACTCGCAGTTATCGACATCGGCCAGGTGTCGAACCGAAACGGCTGTTTGTTAGCTGTTGTACTTGTGTGCTGGCCCTTTGATTGGCCATATTTCACACATGTTGTACGAGGGGAATGCGAGAAGGTTCAATGAAAGTGGTATTTTCAAAACGGTTCAGCTCGTTTGACGTTTCGACGAGAATTTCAATCCGTCTACCTTCACCGTCATCGTTCAGTTGACTAACTGCATTCGTTCAGACAGATACGGTTCCAATTTAAAAAAAAGGGCACACGTCCATCTACCATGGAGCTCGTCGCGTGCCGTCCAGTCGAGTCTAATTCAACTTCGTTAAATCAAATCCATGCCTGGCCCAGGCATTCGCGACTGTAATCAAAAACTGTCACAACCGCTTGCCATAAATCCGTGAAGCGGTTTGAAAACGAAGCCCTGTCAGATCAAATCAACTTTGCTTTCGATCCCGAATCTCAATTTCATGGAGCAACGCCTCCACCTCCTGCCTCCCTCTGTTGTCACTTATCAACAGCATTGATCCAGATTGAATGAATACACGAGTCCCTTTCGGATGGGTAGCTTCGCATTAATCGCGACCGCGCTCACTAACCCATATTTAGCGATTATAATCTGCAAACGAACGAACGGTTCCCCGGCAAATGTCCAGTCCAAACGATGAAACTCTTCAGCTGGAAGCGAGCACACCGGGTCAGGCACTTTCGAGCGTCTTGCGAGGGAATCGGGGTTAAATATTCCATGCGGCGGACCATCACTTCGTCGCCATCATCGCAGCAAGAGCGCTCAAGGAAATTGGAGCACGAAAGATGATACCTTTAAGTGTGAAGAGTCACACAAATCATCGACGCTCCTCCACCTTCTCCCGCCTCCAGCCCCAGCTCCAGCTGCCCGGTCCGATTCGCGTATTAAAGCTTAATGCTTGCACGAATTGTTGCAATCGGGGCCCATCTGATGGCATTGAATCGCACCCGGATTTTCTCATTCCGGACTCGATGTGTACGGGGGGTTTATTGGTGGGAAATATCATAAACTATTGAAATTGGAGCGAATCCGCTGAAAGCGCGCACACCTGCCCGTTGAGTTGATGCTAGAACTAATTGTATTAGCTTGTCTGCCTCGATCCACGATGGTTGATGATGGTAATTGATGTCAATAATGGTAGTTCCATTATTGCGACAGGTGAGAGATGAAAAACTAGATCACCGTAATGAATCGTGAAAGAAAAGATATACAGTGAACTCTCCCGAGTTATAGAACCACAATCCTGTAGGAAATCTCCGTCGCAGTAGCCATGGAATTCAATATTACTATGGTTTTATAACAATGAAAGCAAACTTAGATGCATATCATTACAATACAGGGTGGTAAATTACTGTAGTAGCTGGAGCATCTAGGTTGATATGAAATGTAATTAAATTTAAATTTGGAACAAATAAAGAGTTGAAAAATATGCGAATTGATTCCATTTGCATATCAAATTGAATGTTTTGAAAAACGAACTCCAGATTGATGATCTCCGCAAGAGCTCAAAAGTATTGTGCTGTTAAAATTGAGGAGAAAAGCAATCCAGCTTATAAATCGAATCAAAGCTAGCTGTGCTTAGAAATATCATAAACTACAAAATATAGAGAAATGAGTTAAAAATACACAAACGGGCAAACATTTCGTTTCTTTTCTTTTTGACGTAGGACTACGTCTGTGATTTCTATATGGGGTACACGTTGTGAAAATCGAAAATGGAACATGTAACAAAATTATGAAAGATTTTGAACATTAATAACTCTGCTGCCCCTGTACCAATTTCAATAATTTTATCACTAATCGATCAGAAGTATTTCTACGCATCAATAGCTATGCAATGATTTCATCAAGAAATTATTGAAAAAGTGGTAATGTCAAGCATTGTGCATTATCACTGTTTACATGAAATAAACGTTCTTCTAAAACCCAGTCGTCATAATCGAGCACCTCTTGGTTGCACATCATTCTGCTTTAACCTGAAAAGATATAAAAGAGCACTGCTGTCTAGCCTCCACTCATTTTCGCTTCGGACGGCGTGGTGAGCAGACAGCAGAAGCAGCAAAAGCAGCAGCAGGAAGGAGGTGGCAGGTTAGGTAGTCCACTCTTCTACCCAACAACAGGCTGGTCGTGGAAAAGGATGAAAAGGTCTTATCTCCGGTCTGATCTACGAGGTGTGCTGAAGGTGTTCCTGAAAAATATGATCTGTGATGCTATCACCTACTCTGAACACACCATGCGGCCATGGATATCGTCTACGCTTTGAAGCGACAGACGCACTCTGTACGGTTTCGGAGGTTAAATCATCACCAACTTTGGCAACAAAACGGCCCTTTTTAGGGCCAACAAGCTTATTACAGTAAAAAGTTGGAATATAAGCTTCCGATACCACGGCAGCGGTATTCCGTCCA